CTGTGAATTGTGTAAGACTGATGAATCACAGACCTGTACCCCTGAAACAAATAATACATTATATGTTAATTAAAAAAAAAACTGCAAAAAAAAAAAAGAACTGACAGTAAGTGATACTTAAATGGAGATGTTTCTTGTACCTATTAAATCCTTACAGCAGCTATCTGTTCTTGGCAGATAACTTTATAACAATGACAGGGCCTTCACAAAAATACTGCTTTCAGAAAATCTGTACTTAAAGTCTCCGGAGAACTAATCTTAATGGAAGAGAAGTGTGCAGCAGACCAATGACCAAGCAATTCATATGCCATTCATCTGATTCTCATTCATCTATTGCACAATACACATGTTCAGACTGTAAAACTGGCAGCGTCACAAGGTCAAATACTCTGAATGTGTTCACTCAGGGATCCCCAGCTGCTAGCCAAGCAAAACAAAACTAAATAAAACCAACATACCACTCCCGCAGATCTATAATAAGCCAGAGTTCATCACTCTTTGTGATAGTGGAACATCACAACTATCTTGCCCTTTTCGTTTCCAGGAGCCCTGATGTAGCTATTATATTTAAAAAGAGTCCTACTTTTTCAGCGATTAAGAATAAAAAAAAAAAAGCCAAAAATACGAGGATAATTTCAAGACAGGAAGATAATGGGTTCAGGTCTTTGGTAACCAAACTAATAAAACTTTTGCCATTAGTATGCATTTCCTAAGATCAACGGAGACTGGGACACCTGCGCAAAGGAAAACAATGTGGTAAGGAAATAGGAAAACTTCCCAGGACAGGGACACCTAAACCTTTTACCCGGTTGTCTATGGCAATGGCAAACATGTATTGGATGCTTACCATATAAGCAGGTGCTGTGTTAACTGCTTTACATACATACATGGACCCATTTCATCTTTACAAAAACCCTAAGAGGCAAATTCTATTAACACTTTCACTTTATAAGTGAAGAGATGCAAGTTAGCAAAGTTAAGTAACTTGCTTGAGATCATGACTCTAGTGAGAATTATAGGAAATAAGTATAACAATATATATTCTTCATCGAGCTCTTATAATTTACAGACCAACATCTTGAAAAAAGAGAGGGACCTTTTGATATTTAGACCTAATTCAAACACTAGGAAAGGATCTTTTCAGAAAAAGCCTTCAAAAGTGGGAATTTAAACTTTGTTTGAACAAATTTAGAGGTAGGAGGTCACTTACTCTTAAAAATAGTTCATCTTGACTTTAAACAATATAAATATTTTTTAAGTTGCTTATACTGAGACCCAAGTCTGTCCCTAGAATCTTTCATACACTGGCATTGCTTTTAACCTCTGGAACTAGACAGAACCAACGTAATCCTTTTCTGTGCCCTGGTTCTTCAAGTATTTAAATTTAATTTTCACTATGTAACCGGTTATAAGGTTACATAGAGTTTATTTTTCCAGGTTAAATATAATCAGAAATATAAATTATTTTGCAATAATTTACCATCATGGTTATCCTTCTTTGAAAATATTGTCAATAAATCCTTCCTCTAGTCTTCCTAATGAGTAAGTTGGTCTCAATTGGTCTCTTCCTTTTTTTATTCATGAAAATATATTTTATTAATGTGGTGAAATATTGTATTTATTTTCTTGATAACCACATTACACTGTTAATGCATGCTGAATAACAAACACAATTCAGAGATCTTCTTATATGAAGAATTCTGAAGCTATAGGTTGCCCAAATTTTCATCATTTTTTTAAGATTTATTTATTTTAGAGAGAGAAAGAGAGAGAGTGCAATCAGGGGGAGGGGCAGAGGGAGACAGAGTGAGAGAGAAGCAGACACCCTGCTCAGCGCTAGCCCGATGCAGGACTCGATCTCACAACCATGAGATCATGACCTGAGAGGAAATCAAGAGTGGGAGGCTTAGCCCACTGAGCCACCCAGGCACCCCTCATCATTTTTTTTTTTAATGTAAGTGCAGCAGTTTATTTAACTTTCATTTTGTTAGGTTTAACTCAAATGTTCCAGGGTGAGGTGTGTTTGAATTCAGATGCCTTCACTCAACACATTAGATATTCTTCTAAGTGTCCAAGCCTTTTATTAACCACAGCTTGGCAAGATTGTTTTCTCGGTCTGTATCCAAATCATTACTAAAGGGGCAAAGCCCAGACTCATGTGCCATGGCCCCAAGAACCCTCTCTTCATGCTTGCACTGCTCCATAACTGACAAGCTCATAGATTTTCTCACATAATCAGATGAGGAATAAGCTGAATATCCTCTTTACAATAATGATAAAGTCCTAGTTCACAGGAAACTAACCCATCCTGGAAATACAAAACTCACTCAGATGAAATACTTGGTTAATGGAGATTTGTTACATAACTTGATTCATTCTAGACTCTGGCTTTAATTTCAGCACTTCTTTTCATCCTCACTTTTCAAGTGGGTTGGTACTCATTGCAGCATGAATATTCTGACATCCCCATGATTTAAGTAAAAAGCAAGTGCCAAGATTTTTTTTTAAAGAGGATCTATAGATATTTCGAGATTCCCCCCCCTCCTTTTCATGTAGCTTTTCATGCCTTTCTAAATATTTTTTTCTTAACATGATCAGCATTATAGTAAGCAACTAGATCAAAAGGAAAAAAATAAAATACAGAGAAATTAAGGGGAAACTGTGGCCATATGAAGCTAACCAGGTTATCAGTGTATGAAAATTTCTAATACCTGAGAGAATTCTCACAGAACTGCTAAGGTTGACAGGCCAGCCATCTTTAAGCCAGGTAATCGAAGGCAGGGGGATTCCTGAAGCTTCACAAGTCAGAGACACTGAGTTCTTTTCCACGACACTGATATTTTCAGGTATCCCATGGTTTCCTGTGATGGCTGGAGGGGCTGTATGGTAGAACAAATAAGAAAAGGAAAAGAAATTATCTAATATATATCAAACACCAAATCCTCAACAGCCTATGGTTAATAAGATGACTTCCATTTCCTGGTCAACAATAAGCAAAATAAGCAATTAAAACAATAAGCTTATTAGAAGTAGCAATATTTTTAGTGTGACATTCTTGGAAGTAAAAACGTTGCTTCTTCCCCACTCATAGCAGTAAAGGACTTTCATATTGTTATTCTATTGGTGGTGAATGATTTTCTATGAGTCACTCAGCTTGTCTGGTAAATCTCTAATATGGATTCATGACCTTCTTATAGGCAGAATTTTCTAACAAATAAATCTAATCCTAAAAATTAAAATATTCTAACAAAAAAGATGCTTAATATTAAAACTTCTTCTCTTTTACATTCTGATTATGTTAGCTTTGGCTAACATATTTGCTGCAAACTACAGGATATTAATACTGGACTTTGTGCATGTCCTAATTGAAGTTATAAGATTGTGTCTTATAAATTTATCATTGTTTCTGTAGATTTAAAAATTGCAGGGGCACCTGGGTGGCTCAGTCAGTTAAGCATCTGACTCTTGATTTCAGCTCAGGTCTTGATCTCAGGGTTGTGAGTTCAAGCCCCCGTGAGTTAAAAAAAAAAAAAAAAAATGCAATTCCTAGAGACTCTATCCAAAAACTGTTAGAACTAATAAATGAATTCATTAAAGTTGCAGGATACAAAATCAATACATAAAATCTATTGCATTTTTATACATTAATAATGAAACATATAAAGTGAAAGTAAGAAAAAATCCTATTTACAATTCCATCAAAAAGAATAAAATACATGGAATAAATTAACCATAGAAGAAAAAGACCTGTGTGTTGAATACTACAATAATGAAAGAAACTGAAGAAGGCACAGATAAAAGGACTGAGGAATAATATTGTCAAAATGTCCATACTACCCAAAGTAATGCAATCTCTATTAAAATTCCAATGGCATTTTCCACAGAAATAGAATAAACAATCCTAAAATTTATATGTAACCACAAAGGACCCCAAATAGCCAAAGCAATCCTGAGAAAGAACAGAGCTGGAGGCATCACACTCCCTAATTTCAAACTATACTACAAAGCTATAGTAATTAAAACAGTATGGTATTGGCATAAAAACAGACACATAAATCAACGGTACAGAATGGAGAGCCCAGAAATAAACCCACTCATATATGGTTAATCATTTTACAACAAAGGAGCCAGGAATATCTGATGGGGGAAAAGACAGTCTCTTCATTGAATGGTGCTGGGAAAAATTGGATAGCCAAATGCAAAAGAATGAAACCGGACCACTATCTTACACCATACATAAAAAAAATTTAAAAAAAACAAAACAAACACACCAAGTTCATAGGTACAGAGAACAGTCGGGGGAGGGGCAAACTATTTTTGTTTTTAGTTTAAATAAACTGAAAAAAAAAGAATAAATTAAAATTGCAGTTCAAATTATATGTATACAAATAACTGTCCCTAAGTACATGTATGCTTGGTCTATTCCTATTGACATTTATGACTCATTAATTAGAATATTAAAGCTAACTTCAGAACAACTCATGAGCAACTGATGTTTAGTCAGTAAATTCTAAGGAACCAAGGCTTATACTAACCAAGACAGCAAATCTGGAAAACAGAGAATCAAGGAATATTACTTAGGATAGCACTGGTTCAAAAGTACTTGAAGAAGACAATTAGAGAATTAAATCTACTTTACTATGTACTTTTCTAAGAGAATTTCCAATATATGCCTGTTTCAGCAAGGTAAGAAATGGGAGGTCAAGCATAAAAGGATAAGTGATGAGACTGGTCCAGAGAAAAGGTACATATGCAGAAAATCATAGACTATACATAAAAGATGCAACTCTTAAGGCTTATGTTTCCCATCCAGGATACTATAGATTATAATGGCCACTGAATAGACTTATTGAGCTTCTTTATACTTACTATGTACACTTAAGTCATATTTTCTGTCAGTCATTCCTGCTACATTTACAGCAACACACACATAACGGCCTGTGTCAGATACATGAATGTTCTTCAGCTGAAGGATGCGACCTTCATCCAATATTTCCATTCCCCTTCCCTTGGTCAAAGGGCGGCCATCTTTCATCCAGGTCACTTTTGGTTGAGGAATACCCTGCACCTCACACTCCAAGGAAATACTCTTCCCTCGAGTAACAATGATTTCAGTAGGGTGGCTGCCACTATTGGATATAGTTGGTCGAACTGAAAAAAAAAAAAAAAAGAAAGAAAGAAAAAAATAGTAAAGTAGGAAATGTCTGCTTCAAGTCTTGCATAAGAATTCGTATCAGCCAAAGTTAAACTCATTTTTTATGTCGAAATATTAACTACTAAAGAAAAGACCCAGGGCTAACAGACAAAGCATTGCTATATTGAGAGGTAGAATTCCTCTCCAATGTTTCTAAATGTGTTCATGCTTAGAATAAAGCTTTAAACACAGTAAGAAAAGAATTCTGTGTTTGTTAATTTCCCTGATTTTTAACAAGTTATACAAATACTTGAACTTATCTTTCATAGCCCTAATTTACAGAAGTCTTCCTACTAACATTAAAATAGATACGGTAGCCTCGCTCACAATCAATTCCTTTCTTCCTTCTACACTCCACTACAGGAGTTGGAAAGCTGAGACTGTTTTTCATTCTTCTCTGAAAATTGAGGTGGCCACATGAATCAATTCAGGCCTATAAAATCTAAATAAAGGTCTGCCTGGTGGGCATGGGGGATGAGGGGAATGGGTTGGGAATTTTTTTGCTGTCCCAATGAAAGGAGAACATACTACTCCTTACCCTTATTTTTGCCTTCAATGTGGACTTGATACCACAGTTGAAGCAATGATCTTGAGACCACATAGGTAGGAGCAGGAGAATCCTAGCTCTCCTGTCTTTATATGAATAAGGTTCTGACCACCTCCAGGGACTGCCAACCTCAGGCTTCTCATTATGTGAGAAAATAAGTCTCTAATTGGTTAAGCCACTGATCACCAGTTATTCTGTAGTTTTGTAGCTGAATTTACCTAATTGATACTAATTCTAAGAAAAAAAACTAGACCAATTCTAATACATAGGTGTGTGGGGGAAGAAACATGGGCTAGTTAGTAATCTTGGGTTCTAGTGCCAGTCCTACTACAATCAAGTCAGGTGACCTTGGTCAGTCATGGAAACCTCTCTGGGCTTAGATGACTACATATGCAAAATGGAGGCAATAATTTTGTTTCATATCATAGTTCATGTAAAGGTTAAATGAGATAATGTGAATATTTAAAACACTTTCAAATCTTACATAAATTAAATATTCTTTAAGACAGTTTTACATTTTGCAAATATACCCTATGATACAACACCATCTCTCCCCATTCCACACATCCACTATCCTGCCCCCAATACATTACAACCATATTGATGTGTCTTCTATTAGCATGCTGATGCAGAGTGCACAGCTGTATTGCTAAATGAATAACAGACAGAAATAAGCAATTGCTCTTTGTTTATGTCAGCACAGTTTAAATTTGTGAGTCTTATGATAGGTATATTATAACCATACTACCTTGAATGTACCTTAGAAGATATAAAGAAAAAGCAAAAAGGAAAGACAGAGAGATTAAAAGAAAGTCTGGCTAATCAATAACTTACTATAAACTTGCAGACTGTAGTCTTTCTTTGCAGTTCCAGCAACATTTGATGCCACACACGTATACAGCCCTGCATCAGATTTTTCCGCAACTGAGATCTGTAACTGTCTGCCTCCAGATAAAGTTCTGACTCGCCCTGCAGAATCAGCCAGCACTGGGGAGCCTACAAAGAAGACAAAATGCCAGAATATGAAGCAAAAATATATAACATTTTGTGTACATACTCTGATAAGTACGTTTATTTACATCTTATTTCAAGAACCTAAAAGGCAGATGACACTGTAAAATAATCCTATGCAAAAAGAAGGAGAAGAAGGCAGGAGAGGAGAGGCAGGAGGAAGAGGAGATATTTATCAAGATTATCTACTGCAGGGGTGCCTGGGTGGCTCAGTCGTTAAGTGTCTGCCTTTGGCTCAGGTCATGATCCCAGGGTCCTGGGATCGAGTCCCGCATTGGGCTCCCTGCTCGGCGGGAAGCCTGCTTCTCCCTCTCCCACTCCCCCTGCTTGTGTTCCCTCTCTCACTGTCTCTCTGTCAAATAAATAAATAAAATCTTAAAAAAAAAAAAAAAAGATTATCTTCTGCAAATTTTTTTTCAATCAGTATTACATTTGAAAGCATACTTAGGAAAATAAAGTAAAATCTTAAAACAATAAAACAAAATGATTTTAAAAATCAACTAAAAATATTGGGCACCTGGGTGGGTCAGTGGGTTAAAGGTCTGCCTTCACCTCAGGTCATGATCCCAGGGCCCTGGGATGGAGCCCCGAGTCAGGGTCCCTGCTCAGTGGCGAGTCTGATTCTCCCTCTCCCTCTCCCATCTCTCTTGCTCTCACTCTCAAATAAATAAATAAAATCTTTAAAAAAATCAACTAAAAATATAGATTATCTGATACTTAATGGATACAAATAAATATTTATTAATGAATAAATTGAAAATTTGTTTAACTACACAGTTCAGTCTTAACATACATTGCAAAACTGTCACAAATACAGCAAAAATGTTATAGAAAATATTTTTTAAAGCTTATTCTAAAGAAGATAAAAGAATTCTTTGAATGGTGGATTCTTGACCATTATAGCCACCCTATAATGCATTAGATTATAAAGTAATCAACTAATACAGAAAGTTAATTTTTTTCTGGAGAACAGTTTCAAAATTAAAGATTTTCAGCTATATAGTGTAGAAGTTATCACATGCTACACATTTAATATAAAGCAATCATACTATCTAATATTTTAGTATGAAAACCCCAGAAAAGTTTGTTAATAAAATGGTATGTTTGTCAAACAAAATATAGATTCATTTAACATTTATTTTAATCTTATAAATGTTGAGGATGAAAACTGACCTTTCTTCTTCCAAATGAGATTTGGGGGCGGAATACCACTTGATTCACACAATAAACTAATGAGATTCCCTTCAATGACTGTAAGTTGAGCAAGTTCATCAGAACCATAAATATTTGGTGGCACTGAAAGATGAAAAAATGAAAAAATATTATATTTACATTAACTTTACATTAAATTTCCTTTACATTTTAAAAAAGGTTCCCACTCAAATGACATAAGGAAATAATTAGCCCTTGAGGTTGACATATCGATACCACATTAAAAGTCAACCGTAAGACATAGAAAAATACCTATTAGCAGACTTCCCGTTTTCACAGATAGAAACTTAATTAACAAAATATTCAGAAGCTAATGTAGTGTAGATAATTAGACTTTTTGCATCAGAAAACTAAAGCACCTACCAAATTTACACTTAATTGTCTTTTCTGCTCAGCCAGTTTTTTTTTTTTATTTAAAGATTTTATTTATTTGTTTGACAGAGAGAGATACAGAGGGAGAGGGAACACAAACAGGGGGAGTGGGAGAGGGAGAAGCAGGCTTCCCGCCAAGCGGGGAGCCCTATGCGGGGCTCGATCCCAGGATCCTGGGATCATGACCTGAGCCGAAGGCAGATGGTTAATGACTGAGCCACCCAGGCGCCCCTCAGCCAGTTTTGATGTCTTAGCTGCTGAACAGAACTGGAAAACAGGCTTACAACATTATGGTAAAGGACAGACACAGGGGTTTGATCCAAGAAATGGATATGTTATTAGAATACACAGCCTGCCTCCCCACTGTCCTCTAGTTTCTCTTTGGAACGTTTATGTGAACCCTGACTACCCACGCTCCTCTCAAGAAGGCCAAGTCTGCCTTTGCTGGCTGAACTCTCAAGATGCTTCTCTGGCTGCAATATTATCAGGTGGCAGACGCTTGCTCTCCCAAGCTCCTGGGAGTTGAGGAGGGAAAATCCTCCTCCCCCATCAATGTAGCTTCCAGTCATTGTTCAACTTCAACTGCCCCCATGTGAAAACCTCCTTCTTTGAGGCTCATGCCACCAAGTTACTTCTCTTTCTCCCTCACCATCATCTGTGAACCTGCCATTCTTTTTCTATTCACTGAGCAATTTGGTACTTGTTTTTATCTTTCTCCTTCACATGGAGACCTGGCATTCTTCTGTATGAACACAACATCTGCATGTATATCCAGTCTGACCACCGTGGCTACTCACTTCCTTGATCTGCTCATCCCTTTCTCCACCATGTTCATCATCTAGAACATTTCTCCTACTGCTCCATCCTTATAGCTTTCACTCAATCATTCCCAATTCTCACTTTATCGACCCAACTGAATCTCAAGTCTTTTCATCTCTCAGAAACTTCCCAATCCAGCTGCCTACTCTTGTTTACTGACTTTTCCATCCAGCTTAGATTTCATGATCAATAATTTCAACTACTCCTTTGCCAATAATCTCCACTGCCATGCACGCTTGCCCTTCCTGTTTTGCAACACTCTTCCTCTGGATGAACCCTACAGTTAGTTTACTCTGTCATCTCCCATACCACAGATGGAAAGTTCTGCAGAAGAAAATGACAATTACATAGATTGCCATTACTATACGCACACCATCTCCAACCTCAATTCTACCCTCCTCTACTCCCATGGCTTCCATTGACACAAATACTTGCAAATCTGTATCTGTAATGCAGACCCCATCTGAGGTCTAGAGTTTTGTATCTGACTACTAAACATCTCAACCTGGATACATCAGAGGCACTTTCAAACTTGACTTGCCCACAGCTGAACCCAGGCACCTTTGTTCCTTTTCTGAGGGAAGGACACTGCTGTCCACATGGCCCAGCTGGCCAACCCACAACAACATCCATCCTCTACTCTTCTTCTTTTCACACCTATCCATGTAATCAATTAATCCTGTTAATTCAGTTTCTTAAATACTACTAGAGTTTATCTGTTTTATTCCCCAAATACAGATCTGAACATCCCAGTCCTTCTTTAAATCCCTTTAACAGTAACCTATTTATAACTGATCTTCAGTTAATTATATATAATCACACTTACCCCAAATGTTGACATTATAGTTTTTCTCAGTTTTTCCAGCAACATTTGTTGCCTCACAAGTGTAACGACCAGTGTCTTGAACTTGAGTCTCTTCAATCTAAAAATAAAACCATGCTTTGAAACCTCAGTTTCTATTTCATAATTGGAGTTTTTCTATTAATGTTATTTGTGACTTCTTATTTTTCATGAGTATTCTAAAGGTTTTCAAACATATAGAAAGGAAAGAGAATAGTAAAGCATATGACTATATGCCCATCATCCACATTCAACACTTAAATCAAAATTCAACAATTTTCATCTATATCATACTTTGTTTTAATCTAATTAATATTAGTGACTGAAGGTCTAGAATGGCCTCTTAAATATAATTAAATAAAATTCAGATAAAATAACAAGAAAACACAATTTCTGAATAAGTTATTTAGGGCTTTAATATAGATAACCTTTATATAGCTAGGCTATTGTTCAGTAAAATAACACCTTTATTATTGGTTTATTACATGTCTTCTCCCTATACTGGGTTTGTAAGCTTCTTTTTTTTAAATTTTTATTTAAATTCTAGTTAACGTACAGTGCAATATTGGTTTTAGGAGTAGAATTCAGTGATTCATCACCTACATACAACACCCAGTGCTCATTATAACAAGTGCCCTCCTTAACACCCATCACCCATCTGGCCCATTCCCCACTCACTTCCCTCCATCAACACTCAGTTTATTCTCTTTCAGAGTCTCTTGTGGTTTGTTTCTCTCTCTCTCTTTTCCCCCCCTCTCATATGTTCATCTGTTTTGTTTCTTAAATTCTACATATGAGCGAAATAATATGATATTTGTCTTCTCTCTGACTGACTTGTTTCACTTAGCATAATACAGTTTGGCTCCATCCACATTGTTGCAAATAGCAAGACTTCATTTTTTTTGATGGCTGAGTAATATTCCATTGTATATATATATGTATATATATACCACATCTTCCTTATCCATTCATCAGTCGATGGACATTTGGGCTCTCTCCATAGTCTAGCTCTTGTTGATAGTGCTGCTATAAACAGTGGGGTGCATGTACCCCTTTGAATCCATATTTTTGTATCCTTTGGGTAAATACCTAGTAGTGTAATTGCTGGATTATAGGGTGGTTCTATTTTTAACTTTTTGGGGAACCTCCATACTGTTTTCCAGAGTGGCTGCATCAGTTTGCATTCCCACCTACAGTATAAGAGGGCTCCCCTTTCTCCACATCCTTGCCAATACTTTTTGTTTTCTGTGTTGTTAATTTTAGCCATTCTCACAGGTGTGAGGTGATACCTCCCTGTAGTTTTGATTTGTATTTCCTTGATGATATTGAGCATTTTTTCATGTGTCTGTTAGCCATCTGGATGTCTTCTTTGGAAAAATGTCTATTCATGTCTTCTGCCCATATCTTAACTGGATTATTTGTTTTTTGGGTGTTGAGTTATTTTTTTAAAGATTTTTTTTTTTTTATCTGTCAGAGAGAGAGAAAGCACAAGCAGGGGGAGTGGCAGGCAGAGGGAGAAGCAGGCTCCCTGCTGAGCAGAGAGCCCGATGTGGGACTTGATCCCAGGACCCTGGAATCATGACCCGAGCTGAAGGCATACATTTAACTGACTGAGGCGCCCAGACATCCCTGGGTGTTGAGTTATATCAGTTCTTTATATATTTTGGATACTAACCCTTTATCAGATATGTCATTTGCAAATATCTTCTCCCATTCCATAGGCTACCTTTTAATTTTGTTGATGGTTTCCTTCACTGTGCAGAAGCTTTTTATCTTGAAGAAGTCCCAATAGTTCATTTTTCTTTTGTTTCCCCTGCCTCCAGTGACTTGTCTAGTAAGAAGTTGCTATGGGGGCACCTGGGTGGCTCAATTGGTTGAGTGTCTGACTCTTGGTTTCAGCTCATGTCATGATATCAGGGTCATGGGATTGAGCCCCACATCGGGTTTTGTGCTCAGTGGGGAGTCTGCTTGGGATCCTCTCCCTGTCCATCTTCCTCTGCTGCTCTCCCCCCACCTCAAATAAATATAAATCTTGAAAAAAAAAAAAAAAGAAGTTGTTATGGCCGAGGTCAAAGAGGTTGCTGCCTGTGTTCTCCTCAAGGATTTTGATGGTTTCCTGTCTCACACTTAGGTCTTTCATCCATTTTGAATTTACTTGGGTGTATGATGTAAGAAAATGGTCCCAGTCTCATTCTTCTTCATGTTGCTGTCCAGTTTCCCAACACCATTTGTTGAAGAGACTGTCTTTTTCCCACTGAGTATTCTGTCCTGTTTTGTTGAAGATTAGTTGATCATATAGTTCTGGGTCCATTTCTGGGTTTTCTACTCTGTTCCACTGATCTCTGTGTCTGTTTTTGTGCCAGTACCATTCAGTCTTGATGACTACAGATTTGTAATACAGCTTGAAGTCCAGAATTGTGATGCCTCCAGCTTTTCTTTTCTTTTTCAGGACTTTGGTTACTCAGGGTCTTTTGTGGTTTCATACAAATTTTAGGATTGTTTATTCTAGCTCTGTGAAAAATGCTGGTGGTATTTTGATAGGGATTGCATTAAATGTGTAGATAGCTTTGGGTAGTAGAGACATTTTAACAATGTTTGTTCTTCCAATCAATGAACATGGAATGGATTGGAAGAACAAATCCAAGGCTCCAAGAATGGAGCATGAGCATTTTCTTTCTGTCCTCTTCACTTTCCTTCATAAGTGTTCTATACTTTTCAGAGTACAGATTTTTTACCTCTTTGGTTAGGTTTATTCCTAGGTATCTTATGATTTTTGGTGCAATTGCAAATGTGACTGATTCCCTGATTGCTTTTTGTGCTGTTTCATTATTGATGTATAGAAACACAACAGATTTCTGCACATTGATTTTATATCTTGCAACTTTGTTGAATTCATGCATTAGTTCCAGCAATTTTTTCGTGGAGTCTTTCAGGTTTTCTACATAGAGTATATCACGTCATCTGTAAATAGTGAAAGTATGACTTCTTCCTTGCCTATTTGGATGCCTTTTATTTCTTTTTGTTGTTTGATTGCTGAGGCTAAGACTTCCAGTACTATGTTAAGTAGTAATGGCAAGAGTGGACACCCTTGTCTTGTTCCTGACAATAGGGGAAAGGTTCTCAGTTTTTCCCATTGAGGATGATATTAGCTGTGGGTCTTTTATATATGGCCTCTATGATGTTAAGGTATGTTTCATCTAGCCCTATTTTGTTGAGGGTTTTTTTTTTCTTTAATCAAGAAAGAATGCTGGGGTGCCTGGGTGGCTCAGTCGTTAAGCGTCTGCCTTTGGCTCAGGTCATGATCTCAGGGTCCTGGGATCGAGCCCTGCATCGGGCTCCCTGCTCTGTGGGAAGTCTGCTTCTCCCCCTCCCACTCCCCCTGCTTGTGTTCCCTCTCTTGCTGTGTCTCTCTCTGTCAAATAAATAAATAAAATCTTTAAAAAAAAAAAAAGAATGCTGTATTTTGTCAAATGCTTTTTCTGTATCTATTGACAGGATATTATCCTTTCTTTTATTGATGTGGTGTATCACATTGATTGTTTGTGAATACTGAACCACCTCTGAAGCCCAGAAATAAATCCCACTTGGTCATGGTGAATAATTCTTTTAAAGTACTGTTGAATTCCATTTGCTAGTATTTTATCAAGAATTTTTGCATTTATGTTCATCAGGGATATTGGCTTGTAAATCTCCTCTTTTAAAAAATTTAAATTCAATTACTTAACATATATTATTTGTTTCAGGGTTACAGGTCTGTGATTCATCAGTCTTATACAATACCCAGTGCTCATTACAACATATACCCTCCCCAATGTCCATCACCTAGGTACACCATCCCTCCATCCCCCACCCCTCCAGCAACCCTCAGTTTGTTTCCTATGATTAAGAGTCTCTTATGGTTTGTCTCCCTCTCTGGTTTCATCTTGTTTCATTTTTTTCTCTCTTCCCCTATGATCCTCTACCTTGTTTCTTAAATTCCATATATCAGTGAGATCATATGATACTTATCTTTCTCTGATTGATTCATTTTGCTTAGCATAAATACCCTCTAGTTCCAGCCATGTCATTGCAAATGGCAAGATTTCATTTTTTGATGGCTGCATAATATTCCATTATATATATATATATATATATATATATATATAAGACAATTGAATCAGTATTCAAAAATCTTCCAACAAACAAAAGTCCAAGGCCAGATGGCTTCCCCAGGGAATTCTACCAGAAATTTAAAGAAAAATTAATACCTATCCTTCTCAAACTGTTTCAAAAAATAGAAATGGAAGGAAAACTTCCAAACTCCTTCAATGAGGCTAGCATTACTTTGATTCCAAAACTAGACAAAAATCCTACTAAAAAGAATTACATGCTAGACACATCTCCAAAGGCAAGGGAAACAAAAGCAAAAATAAACTGTTGGGCGTTCATCAAGATAAAAAGCTCTGCACAGCAAAAGAAACAATAAACAAAACTAAAAGGCAACCTACAGAATGGGAAAAGATATTTGCAAATGACATATATGATGAAGCGTTAGTATCCAAAATATATAAAGAACTGATACAATTCAACACCCAAAAAACAAATAAGCCAGTTAAAAAATGGGCAGAAGACATGAACAGACATTTCTCCAAAGAAGACATACAGATGGCCAATAGACACATGACTCATTCATCATCAGAGAAATACAAATCAAAACTACAATGAGGTATCACCTCACACCTGTCAGAATGGCTAAAATAAAAAACACAAAGAACAAGTGTTGGCAAGGTTGTGGAAAAAGCAAAACTCTTGTACTGTTGGTGGGAATGCAAGCTGGTGCAGCCATTCTGGAAAACAGTATGGAGTTTCCTCAGAAAGTTAAAAATAGAACTACCCTATGATCCAATCATCACACTACTGGATACCTACCCCAAAAATACAGAAACACTAATTCAAAGTGACACATGCACCCCTATGTTTATGGCAGCATTATTTATAATAGCCAAATTATGGAAGCAGTCCAAGTGCCCACTGATAGATAAATGGATAATGGAGATTTTATACACACACACACACACACACACACACACACACACACACACACACACATATATATGAGATATATTTATATCTGACATATGTGATCACATATCATATATATGTAGGAATGGAATGTTATTCAGCCATAAACAAGAATGAAATCTGGCCATTTGCAACAACATGGATGTATAGCTAGAGGGTATAACATTAAATTAAATAAGTCCATCAGAGAAAGACAAATACCAAATGATTTCACTTATATGTGAAATTTTAAAACAAAACAAATGAACAAAGGGAAAAGAGGAGAAAGAGAAACAAACCAAGAAACAGATTCTTAACTATATAGATCAAAATGATGGTGACCAGAGGAGAGGTGGGTGGAGGGATGGGTGAAATAGGTAAAGGGGATTAAGGAGGGCACTTGTTGTGATGAGCACTGGGTGTTGTATGTAAGTGATGAATCACTATATTGTACACCTGAAACTAATAAAACACTATATGTTAACTATACTGGAATTAAAATAAAAACTTAATAAAAAAGATGTATTGATTTCCTAGTGTGTTCCAGGCAAAATAACATGGTAAGAATCTATTACTTTACCTCGTTGTGGATGTGCATGAATTGTTTTGGGAAATGCACAGGTAAGATAGTCTTAACTGACCAATTTTGTCTGAGTTCTGTAGAAGTTTTTATTTCCATGAGGTCCTCTCTGTACACCCCTCAGTGGGACCTGTACATTTCAGGGTGCCTGGCCAGCCTCTGTGGTAGAAATTCAATAGATCCCAGGATTTCTTCACCCTCACCTTTCTTTTGGCTTCCCAAACTTATTGAGATCTGTGCCCTGAAGAAATCAACTTCTAAACTCTGAAATTTGCCAAGACATTTCTAATCACACATAGCTCTCCCCGCCCAGTGCTGGGACTTGTGTTCATACAATTGTCTCCCTCTGTCATTTGGTCAGAGCAGGGGTTTGAGAATACTACCAGTTGATTTCTAGAGCTCTGGGTCTGCCTCTGAGCATGGCCAGTGCTTTTTTCTTTTCTCCCCTATATAGCTCAATTGACTTATCCTACTTTCCTCCACCAGTTTTTCCAGCTTTTCCTTCTTTACCCAGCTCCACTATTACAGATTATAATTCCTAAAATCTCTACTTGGTTGCCTCTAACACACAACTTCATATTCCCTCCCATTCTCTCCCATGTTTCTGCTCTCCTTATATAAGCTTCTCAGCTTCCTATGTGCTGATACCATCATCCATTTCTCAAGACTCCCTTTGTTTGCCAGTAATAACCTTCCTTTACCAAGAGGCTATGTGGTAGAGTGGTTAGTAGCATGAGTTTTAAAGCTAAACTCCCTGTATTCAAATCCCATTTCTGACACTTAGTAACTGTGGGCAGATTACTTAGCCATTCTTTCAATTTCTCAATAGGGTTATTATGAGGACTTTATAAACATTCCAATAGCTTATTACTTCCTGAATACTAATTCCTTTGTATTTTTTAAAGATTATTTATTTATTTATTTGAGAGGGAGGGAGAGAGAGAGAGAGCAAGTGAGAACACAAGAGCAGGGGGAAGAAGAAACAGACTCACCGCTGAGCAGAGAGCCTGACTCAGGGCTTGATCCCAGCACCCTGAGATTAAGACCTGAGCCGAATGCAGACGCTTAACCTACTGAGCCACCCAGATGTCCCCTGAATCCCAATTCCTTAAACTGGTTTTCAATGTTAGCTCTTATTTCACTCAAATCAACGTTGTCAATATTATTTCCAAATATTCACTTGGTTAAATTCCCTGTTTCAGCCACACTAGCTTACTTGCTTTCCTTAATCAGGCCTTTTGTCCCATCTACACATAAAAAGCCAAGTAGCCTTCCAAGATTTCCAGGCAACCACAGCCTCACCTTTCACTATCCTCCTAAAATGTATTACCTGTACCATCCAAATAGTAATTAACTCACACTTATAGTACGTACTGCATTTTCAATGGAACTGTTAATTTTCATCTTTTTATGCAAACTTGGAAGAAACTGAGGGTAGGAAATGTGTCTATTTTTCACATCGTATGCAGAGCACCTAGAATGGGTATTTATTTGCTGAGTAGTTGAATGACTAAAAATGAAGCACTCGTTAGAATAGTTCTATATTTTCCCAGAAGCATTTTTGGATGGCTTCTAGCTACAAATATGGATAGACAAATATCTAAATCTTACTAAGCATAAAGTTTTAAAATATTACAAACCTCATTAATAAAAGGGCACCTATAATTTTACAAGATGAAATTAGAACACTTGTAGACAGGCATGTTTACAACCAAAGCCATGAGCTTAGGAATAATATAAGAAGAAGTAAATGAATCTCTAGGCTTACCTTTAACACAGTTCCATTTTCAGAGATACTGAGGCCTGGTTTCTTCAGCAACGGGCGGCCATCCTTTAACCAAGTCAAAGTAGGTGGGGGGATAGCGTCACTCTGACATAGTAACTCCACAGCTTGGCTAATGAGGACAGAGATGTTCTGTTCTTCTCCCATAATATTTGGTGGAACTAAGTGAAAGAAGGGTTTTCCCTCAGGATAAAACAGGCCAACACACTGTTCATCTTTTTTAAGCATCAGGACATATACCAAATAACTTTATTAGTTCTTTTAAGATGTAGGATCACAATAATTCTAACATACCCTCATTGCATCATTTGGTTCAGAATCAAATACTAAGAAATCACTGATTAATATGTTCCTATTGAACAGATATACTTTTCACTTTAAGAAGTTTTAGAACTGGAAGTTCTCACCAAGTGCTTATTTCAGAAACTTTTTGAATTAGATTTCCAAAGTAATAAATTACTCATGAAGCATTTTGGAAATAAATAACAATAATTAAAAACATATATACTTTTGATATTTCTTTATATCTTTTGCAAAAGAAAATAAATTTTATAGACACAGAGGCAAAATTAAAAAATAGAATCGAAAGAGACCACCTAGCCCCACCTCATGGTATGTAAAACATGAAGTAGGTGACAGACAATAGCTTATTTGAAATAATGTGACTAATTTGTGGTAAAGCTAGGAGTTGAGTCTTCTGATTTGCAGTTTAGAGCTCTTTTTGGTTTTCCATGATGCCTTGTCAGCTTTCTATGGAATAAAGACCATGTGGGATAAATGACACAATAAAGAACAAAATGAAAGCAGTGACCAGCTGTATAACATATAATTACATAAAAAGAGGAAATGGGTTGAGATTTTAATGAGATTAAAATTAGAATCCCCTGGCTATCAAGCTTGTCAGATGTTGAAATGTGTTCTTGGAGAAGTCTAAGGAATCTCCTTCCCTTGGGTGTATTAAAATATAGAGTAAACAATCATTTGTCTCAGATGGTTTAGGTACGGTCCTGCCAAGAATGAGAGGGTTTGCTCCATAACCTCTCAAGGACTCTTTCAGGACTGTATTTATAATAATTCAAAAAACACAAACTAACGATGAAATCAGGCCTGTTATAAAGGGCCACTGAAAAAACAGAGAGGAATTTCCTTGGCCACTTCTCACTAAATCCCATAACTATTCAGGATTGTAGGAAATGTACCATATTTTTAGTATTTTTTTCTTTTAATAAGAGAGGTTAAACTGCACTGAAATGAATCCTAAGGGACTTTCCAAATGCTTTGATATAAATAAGATTTTTGTGGTAAGGATTGTTATTATAGTTCATTAGCCATTGTTTCAGGCTGGATCCTGCAGCATGTGGCAAAATGACAATGACTGCAATAGGTTTTGATGAGTAACACTGCAGTTCTGTAACCAGGAGGTTTCTCTGCTACCATGTCTCCTACAGAGGGAAAGGCATTAAACTAAAGGCCATTTTCTTGTACTGTTTCTGGATGCAGGATCTGTGCTAAATCCAAAGGAACTGATGTCATGATGCAAAGAAATGCCATGCACAATAGTTGGAATAGACTAATGGAGCTTTTGTGCAGAGATTCCTGATTCTGCTCAGTTTAATAGCACATAGACATCTGGCTCTCAATAAGCTTAAAGTAATCTATGGGGACCAGAAAACAGTGGAATTGTTTTTAATATGTGAGACATTAGATAAAAGATATATAACTAGTCTGTCTGAGATTAAAACTGCTATAATACTAGCAAAATCAGCACAATTAGTGCCATTTTCTAAGATATTATGAAAACAGATACATTCACCAGTCTTAGCACAGGAAGCCCTAAATAAAAGAGCCAATTTAACAGCTTGAAAGTAATTTCAGGTAAAGTCCGGTCTCAGTGGACAAAAAAGTACCGTAACTGCATAAAAATATGTTTATCTTAGAGTATTTATAGAATTTACAAAAAAGCATGAATTCTTTACGACTACTTGTAGAAGTAAAAGTCAGAAATAATTCAAGAAAGCAGAATGTTAATTTATTTCTAAATATTTTTCCTCCAATTATTTTTCTTTATGGCTAAATGAGTTGAATCAAGTTCAAAAAGAAACCAGACTTTTTTTTTAAATTGAGAGGAAAAATGCAAAAACAATAGAGTATTTGTTTCTTAAGGAACATAAATAAAAGCAAATCTAATTATAGCTGAGGATATATATTACTGAAATGCCTCTATGTTTTCTGTCCTTTCATTTCCAACTTTTTGTTTAGTCTGAGAAGAGAACGAGTCTCTACCCTTTAGATCTCAGCTTCCTTAGATGTTATCCTTACTTAGCTTTGTGGTTATATTGCTTAGGAAGGGGGGTATCATGTCTGTTTCTCATCCTATGCATTATACTTGTTAAATTTAATTATCAAAATCAGCACGGCTGTAGGGTTACACTTGTTGAGATGCTGGAGCATGTGTGATCTCTAACAAAGTTCTCTGAGCTTAGGTTTAAGTAAAGGTACGGGAATCTCAATCATTTAAAAACCCAATTCTCTTGTTTTAGCACCTCAGAATATAGTAAAATATACCCTGAATTTATACCAAGGGGAAATATTTTAATGAACTACTCTTGCAATTGTAAGGAAAGCTATTTTATCCACTGTCTATTCCTCTTATCACCCCCATACTCTACAATGTAAATCTAAGGGAGATTGGTCACTGGAGATGAACATTCATTAGGCTCCAATGAAACACGAGATTGTCAAGGTTATTGCTACAAATATAGGAATATAATATATGGAAATAATACTAATAGGGGAGCACAGATTGGAAACTAATTTCAGATTAAGAGTCTGAAATTTTACATTTCTTTAACTGCTTGCTGTGCACCTATATTCAAATGCTAAGCATATGTAAATGTTAGCTAACCATCTGACTTTTATAACAGAAGAAAGATCCCAGTTTTCAGACCAAAAGGGTGGTATGGAAATGGCTTGGCAAATGATAAAAAATAGTGAGTTTTTATGACTGCTGGAAAATACCAACTCTCTATCACCTCTCTGGTATACTTTTGACACCAACCCATGTAGAAACAGAAGGAGCCAATCCCAGATTTTCAGTCCTGACTAAAACCCAGCAAATACTCATGTCACCCCTCTGTTTGCTTGCTAATTATTGAAGGAGCTTTTGTATCACATACTTAGATTGACTGATGACATAAGACATAAAAACATAAAAATGACCCAGTTAGATTTAAGGGAAGGAGTAGATTCCCTGGGGTTGGACATTTTAGTCCCGTCTGTTATCTGTGACACAGAGCACCAGCAAAGCTGGAGGCTGGATGTGGACCCATGTCTACTGCAGAAGTAATAGAAAAGAGAGCATAGAGAGCCCTTCGGTAGTTTACTAATGCCAACTGGGACTTTCAAGATCCATTAGATATGTAATTTAGCCATGTTGTAACAAGGTTTCTTTTTTTAATTAAAAAACTATGATTTATAAGTTACTTGTAATCATTACATTTACTTTTGGCAAACTTATAAAGAGGAGTCAACTGACATGATCTGGAGGTAAAAAAAAAAAAAGATATATTTTGAATAGGAGTGAACTACTTGGAAGTGAGGTGGGACTTAGAGAGGATTGTACACCTGAATGAAACTAACATAACACTGTGTGTTAATTATACTGGAATTAAAATAGGAAAAACCCAGATACTCTTTGAGGGGCCATGGAGAAACAATTCCATTATTCCATGACCAAGGAATATAATGCAAATAAGACACTGAAAAAAGCCTAAAACAGCCGTAAATGCAAAGGTAAACTAAAATGTGGAATGAAAAACACATCCTACGAATGGAGGTCAATTAGGACTGAACTTTGTTGAGGAGGACTTCTGCTGTGATAAAATTAGACATTTCCTTTTGTACCTTATGGCTGCATCATAGGTAGGAAAAAACCTGAATTTTCTCTAAATTTATGCTTAACTTTTGCTTCTCAAATAGCCTTTAATTCATAGATATCGTATTGACTACAAAATATGCTGATTATAAATATAAAAGTAATAAAATCAAGTCTTTGAGTAGAATAGATCAAGAGAGCTACTTGAACAGATGCTCCCTTCAGTGAGAAGATTATATCTTCCAAATTGCTAAACTGCTCTCCATAGTCATGCTCTTTAGAGTATTCTATGAAACCAACACCTAGCATTTTAATTTCTCAGAACTTTGAGAAAGGAAAATCAGACAAAGTCAAATATAAAGCAGAAAGGTAGAATTTGATTTGAATTGATACTATAAAATCATTTCTATTGCTCATGGTTCTTTATTGTCAACAATTCCCTTTAACTTCTTCAATGATTTTAGGAATTAAACACATCTATATTAGAACAGAAATAATTATTAAAATATTTCACCGTATACTCTGAGGTCAATGTCCCTTTGTTTCTCCCCAGCAGCATTCACTGCCACGCAGGTATATCTCCCAGTATCACTGATTTGAGCGCTGGTCAGTGCTACGATGCGGCCTCCAGACAGAACCTTTCAATGATAAGAAAGATAAATAGCCAACATGCCCCTCTGAGAAAAAGCCTTTTTTTCTCCTATTTTCTGAGGTCAATCAATTGACATTTGCCTCCAGAAAGATTTCCACTTGGATGTTTTATTTTATTTATTTTTCCACTTGGATATTTTAAAGTGGGCAAGCTTCATATAATCTACTTCTTATCCTCTCTTTGAAAGAAGCCTGTGAAAAGCTAGAACCAAACTTGGAAATAACCACTGAAAACAAGTCCCTATGTACAAAATCAAGTGAAGGTCCAATCTCATCCATCCTTACTGCAGAGAGAGAAAAAGCCACCAGGGGAAAAAGATGAGAAAAAGTGGGAATAAGAGCAGCTAATCTTCCTTCTAGTTTTCTTGGTTAGGATAAGTAAGAAGTTATAATTAATAGCAAAGTAGCAGCCAAATAAATTAATTAGTCGCATTCATGGCTCTTTTATCCCATTGGTCTAGTTGTACTTCTAAAATACTGACATTAACTCTGGATCTTCTATGGTCCCAAATTCTTCTAGCAGTGGATTTTTGAGAAAAACTAAAGTAGAATGGTGGGAAAACTAAGTTCTCTACTAGTAAAAATAAAATTAAAGTACACTTTAAAGGAGATATGTGTGCTTCTATAATTTTAATTTTGAGTCAATGTGAAGCACTTAAACTGCTTTCTCAGATTCAAATTTCATTTCTATAATGTTGCCTTTCTAATTTTTCTTACTTTATTACTTAATGTTTTTGTAAAATTAAATATACCCTATATGGTTCTCTAATTCATGAATGTTTCCAAACAATATAAATTTTAGGAGGAAATTCCTGTTTTTGTTGTTGATGAACACTTCTTTGTGCAAGGTATCTTTTGTGCTGGTGGCAGGTAATGGGGATGGGGAGGTAGGTAGAAAGTAAAACAAATGGTCAAAATATAGTATCTACATATGAAATAAAAGATTTCTTAGATGTACTGAGCTTTTAAAGAATTGTTTAGAAATTCCAATTGTGTGGCTAGGGTAATTATGGATAAAAATGTGTATATTTTTGGATAACCTTTGCTAATTCTTATTCTCCAAATCTTGTTAACAGCTTTACCTGTTCATACTATATTTAATAATCAGCTGGTAGACTACCCTTAAGACATGACAGAAAGTACCTGTAACCCGTTAGCAAAACTAGAGACAGGGCTCCCATCTTTCAACCAGGTCAGACTTGGGGCAGGGATTCCTCTGGCTTCACATTCTAACCTCACCAAGTTATTAACCACCACTGCTACCATGTTATTGCTGCCAGAAATCGATGGGGGCACTGAAAAGAAATAAAAAAGTAAATAAAAGTAAGATACATTAATATCACAGAATATTTCACTCAAAATAATGAGTAGTATATATAATGGCTACAGTTGTGTTTCCACATGTGGGTTTTTCATGGTTTTGTTTTGAGTTCTTTCACATCATTTATTTGAGATTCTAATCACAGCTATCCAATTATCAATAATTTCCATTTTACAGATGAGGAAAAGGAGGTTTTCCTACTTTGTTTAGGAAATCCAGTTTTTAATGCCAGAGTGCACTTTTATTTCTTGATTTCCAGGTGTGTGTGTGTGCGGGTGTGTATGTGTGTGTCTTCCTCCACTGTATCCCTGACAACTACATTGTCTTAAAAGCATTATTAGAGGTAATAACTTAAAATCTTTGTTTGACCAAAATCTATGATTTTGATAGACAATATTTACAAAGAGGGTTATTGTCATTAGCTGATAAGATTGTTGATAACTATTTCAACAGTTCATCTAAAGCAAATTGAAGTTCAACAGCATGGGAAACTAGAGCATTTTAATAGGAATCAGGAAATAAAAACAGTCATCAGTTTCAGAACACTGCATCTTTAAATAAAGATGACAAAACACACTATTCACAACTAAAATTTTATAGAAGCACTTAATCATTTTGAATGCATTTTTACCCCAGCATGAATCTAGGAGAAGTGCCACTAACCATGGACCTGCAGACTATAAAATAACTCTGTAGCTCCAGCTGAGTTGATGGCTACACATTTATATATGCCAGCATCGGTTATCTGGGCACTTTCGATATCAATGATCTGTCCTCTCTTCAAGAAAGTCACACCGGTGGAACCTGAGAGTGGACGATTATCTTTGTACCATGTAATAACTGCAGGGGGAAGAAGAAAGAAGTCCATCTATTTAAATTTTTTCTTTTAAAGCTCGATGCCTCCAAATTGGAGGTTAACTAAAATAATAAGAACTGCTTTATTCTTAGGCTTATCATTCAAGCTTAATCAGTTTAAATACCTCTTTAGGATATTTTTGAGGAGGAGGTAACCCTAGGAAAAACAGGAAAAGCCAAGCCAATATAAGAGTCCTGAAAATGAAATTATAAAGCCAATATTCTTTATATTATCTCTAATGTATCAATATTGTTTGATTGCAAACTTTTAACCAATTCTATTTCTTTTTGTTGTATATATTCCTGTCATCTATAAAAATTTTGTCTATGCATTTGATCAAAACCAAAGACTGTACACACTATTAGCCTAAAAAATTATATTGTTATTGATTCATATTAATAACTTACCAGTGATGAGAATCAACAAAAAGAATAATATTCTCATTAATTGACTGATTTATAAAGATAATCAATTTGAACTAGAGAAAAAAATGTTTTTCAACATAAGTGTATAAAAAACTACCATTGTGGGTTTTGTGGCCACAGTAAGGACCATAAGACAATTAGTTATTCACATATTTCTACCTTGTTTAAATGGGTAAATTATTTCATGCAGCTAGAAGCAATGAAAATTCAAAAATGCCATCCACCTAATTATATCCTTATCACTGCTTTACCCTTGGAATGTATTCCATAATCTTTCCTTTATTAGTAATTACTATACTGTGCTCATAAACAGATTTAGCTTTTTCCAGAAATCTTAAAATGTCACTAAGTTAGGGAGTCCACAAGTAAACCTACCAGGAAAGGGATTTCCAGCTGCCTTACACTCCAACTGAATGGGGTTGTTCACCACCACAGTCTCATTCAGCATCTTCCCTGCATCCTCCAGACTAGGCGGTTCTACAAGAAGCCCAAACATAATTAATTCACATAAGTAGAATATTTAAACTGATACTATATGCTCAGTGGAAATTATCATTCCTTTCTGTCTTTTACATATATACACTGATATACTTGGAACAAAAGTATTCTATTTTTTTTTTTTAAGATTTTATTTATTTATTTGACAGAGAGAGACAGTGAGAGAGGGAACACAAGCAGGCAGAGTGGGAGAGGGAGAAGCAGGCTCCCCGCTGAACAGAGAGCCCGATGTGGGGCTCGATCCCAGGACCCTGGGATCATGACCTGAGCCGAAGGCAGAC